CGCGAATAACCACGTCACGTCAACTATAAGTCTCGTAATCATCGATTAACATAGCACTATCTAGATTGTGCTCGTACCAATTCATTTCACCTATCCTTAACACTGAGGATCAAATTTTATAAATGAAGGTTAATTTGTTAATATCTAAGTGTATACAGTAATACACAAATTGTCTCCATCAAAATAACAATTATTAATTTCATTCAATCTCTTATGTGATGTTTTATCTTTTTATGAAAAGTCAATTCCTGGGATACCAAAAAATGTACTCAATTTTTCTTTAATTTAAAGTAGCATAATGTAGTAAATTTAATAAATGTTTATTCTTAAATAAATTACACACTCTTAAAAATGGTAGGAAAATTAAGATTTCAATAAACATCAAAAGCAGAAAAGGGAACCTAACTCAAAATACAAGAAATGATCGAACAAGAGAAGACCTTGTCCGTTTGACCTCTTGACACTTGTTTAACTCAAACAATCATCCTCTCTGTCATTAACCCTAACTTAACACCTAACCTAACACACGTTTCACGCAGGAATCTGACATTGAATAGCGAAATATTTTTGCACAATCGTAGTATGAGTACACACTGGATTGATCACTGATGGTCAACTGCTCCCGCAAGCGTACGGAACGCGGACGTCCTGTGGCGTGAATCTGCGAGCTCTCACGTCAAATTATCAATCTTAGCTCGGAAATTTCTGAACCTGAGATTTCTATGTTTCTCAAGTTTTCTAATCGGATATTAACAATTTATCAAATTTGAAATTAAAGAATTTGTGAATCTGTAAATTTGTATATTTGCAATATTCCAAACATGTAAATTTGTAAACTTGTAAACTTGTAAAAGTATAAATTTCTAAATGTATACATGTGTAAATGTGTAAATATATAAATATGGAAATGTGTAAATGTGTAAATTTGTAAATTTGTAAATGTGTAAAAATGTAAATGTGTAAATGTGTAAATATGTAAATATATAAATGAATAACTGAATAAATGAATAAATGTATAACCGTAACCTTTCAAACTTATAAATTTGATTCGACGTGATTCGATATGCCCCACGCCTTATCGCTGCACGCACCGTGCACGCCGGTGCCCGCGAGCTTTCCTCGGGCCCCGTGATCTGCCCGTCACTCGGAAAGATCACTTTCAAACAAACTAACCATCGCACTCCCTAACTCAATAAAGACAAAAACCAACGAAAACTAGTAGATGCTGTAAACCTGGGACCACACGAGCGCTAAAAGTGACGTCCGCTGGAACGGACGTTGATTCGAATCGATGCATAATGAGCACACACGCAAATATTTGTTCAACAAGCGTCATTTACACGCTCGTATAATCCAAAAGCGCAGTTATTAACACGCTCGCTGCGATCGGCACGCAAATACTGATCATACGACAATAACTCGTGTCACACTCGATTAACATCGCCAGAACCGATTTCGATATTACCGATAATGTTATTATTTATTTCATTCACCCGGCGAACATCGATCACAGCGAGCATGTTAAAAAGGCGAAGTTTGAAAAGCTCGGTACTCACCTGTGTCGCGTGCGTGTACTACCCACTAGTTTGCCGGTGAAGCAGTGAGCCTCGACCGAGAATCGCGAGGGTGTTACCCGGAGGGTTTGCTGGTCGATAGGTCCGCGCTTGCGTTCTTCTTATCATCCCCCACCCTCCCTAAGTGTCGCCAGCTAAAGACAAGAGGGGAAAAAGGAACGAGCCTCCATGTTTCCACGATATGCTCGGTCCCGGTCCCTCGTGTTTGTACAGGGTGACGTCGTTCGATACACATCAAACATGCTCCACCTGCTGGCCGACTGAAGATGAAACGTCAAGCTACATAGTACGACGACATACCGTCGTTCTCTGTGCATTGATGCAACCCCTATCCCGGCAGACAATCGGTAGCTGCAACTTATTTTGTAATCACCCGGAACTCTAGAGTACCGCGGTACCGAGAATATTATTTTTCTCTCTTTCGCAATTTACTTTTTCCATCATTTGAAAAAAACAGCTTTTCTGGCCGTGTTGCTTTATCCGGTACCAGGTGGCAGACCACTCGACCGTACAACGCGTTTCAACGTCGGATGAAAGAATTAATGCGACGACCCAGTTATTCGCGATTCCTCGGCGTTGCACTTACGTGCAGCTTTTGTACCCATGGAGGCTGTACTTTGAAATCTTTCGAGAGATAGAATTTCTATTGTTCCAAGCTGGCCGGGCACAGTTTTGGGGATGGTCGTCTGAGAAACATGCAACGGGAATTCCCATTTCAAATGAAACCTTTGTCCTCCGGTTCCGCGTTTTTTAATTTCTGTTCCGCGTTCGTCGCAACGGAATCGAATTAATATTCATAACAATCTCCGCTTTTGTATCGGCACGAACGTGCGTGCGTTTCTTTGTATTTTTCATCGATGCAATTTTCTTTTCTTTTGCGCGCCGGATAAAACGATGCTGGAATGTTTTCCACGGGAAAGTGGGTCAGTAACATTTTTGCGGGGTAAAGAAACGTTCGGGAGCAAAACGAACGCGGTTGGATTTTCATCGAAATTGCATTCTCTTCGCTCGCGTCAAACGCACGCGTGTCTCACCTGGTTACGTAAGAAACTGTGAACCACGGTTTACTTCTTCGAGAGATCATTCTTCTTTTTCTAGCCACTTTCAATCAATCGAGTAATTGGAAGATGGTAAAACTGGGTTTACACGAAGTCGAATGAAATTTTAAATTATGAGTATATACACAATTTTTTAAATAAATTGCTTCACTAAAATAAGTTTCATTTAATTCCATTTTTTTATTGTATGTTCATCTGTTTATTAACCTTATACACTTGCAATAGGCGTATGTACATATACAACATTATATCAAATATGAGTAGATTATGGCACATTTGCATGTGTTATATTATTTATATACTATTTTATTATTAGACTATAAATATTTTTGTATTCATGATACGTCTATGAACGCAATATACAATTCATCTACAGACTATAAAGCCTGTCAGCAAATTGCATAATTTAAATCTACTGTGCAGATCATAAATGCACAAACGTTCGTGATCTATTTTTTATGCTACAATTTACAGTTTACAGCATAATTTCAGCGCGACGAGCTGAAAATAAATTCATTTGAATTTCAAATAGCATTCTACTATATCCAGTACCGGAAGGATATCTATTATGATGTAAGAAAATTTGCGTGTACAAAAGTGAATGAAAGAACTAATGATCAGGTGAAATGCAATCGTCTCGCATTCAAATGATTCCTAGCTTAAAGTATCAATTGATGAGTATCTTGAATGGTTTTCGTGTCATCGACGAATGATCGTGTAAGCTTTCTATTGTCTTCGATATTCGCTTTTGTCTGCATTGTGATAACTTGAGAGGTGCTGCGACAGTACCTTTACAAGCGACGCGGCTATCGACAATCCTGTAATTCCTACAATCTTCCTTCAATCAATATCTATTGAATCGTTTGTCTAATTTCATTCTGCAAACACTATCGGTGTACAGGTACTTCATTGTGTCGTATTTATCTTCTGTGTAAAATCATACACCTGAGTTGAGTATAACGGAGAATGACACAAACAGTTACTTCGTTAAATTAACCCGTGTCATACTGTTATAATAGCTCTGTTACATAAGTGCCGTCGAATAAAGTATTACGAACGCGTTACAGAAATTAAAAACGGAAATACAGAATCTTTCATTCAATTATAGAATTGGTAAAGATTTCAGATATTAAAGAGGATGGACCGTCTACCACTCTACATTCTACCCTCGATAAAAATCGTTTCGTGGAATGATAGTCACGTTTCACAAACGATGTAATATCGTATTATTATGGAAATTTTATGTCTTATGTAAGGTTATCTTGATCTGAGGATATGAACAAAGGGGAGGAATTTATGTAGCTTCTTTTTTAACTAAATTTGGAGTATATGTTAAAATCTTGGAATATGTTGGAAAGAACTCAAACTGAGGCTTTTTACAGACTACAGTTTTTTACGTTTAGCATAATAAACGACATAAACAGTTTTTTGCAGGTGAAGCAGTAGAAAAGACATAATAGATCCAATTAATTTTCTTGGAAGGAACATTACTTTCATGTAGGTCAATTCACTAAAGCATTCTGAATATGTATTACGGTATTACGTTAGAAAATGAACCGTTAACGAGATACTAAGCTCTAAAAAATAAAAATTTTAAATACTCAAGCTTTTCGAAATAAAATTTTACATATTAAAGCTTTCAAAGCTCAAAATTTTAAATCGTTAAGTACACAGAATAAAAATTTCAAGTACTAAAATTGCCAAATTAAAAATTTCAAATATTAAGGTTTCAAGATAATTTTCAATTCTGAAGTGTATCAAAAAAATTCACGTATCAAAGACCACGTTGAATGTTTCATTCGTAACCCAATTTTTTATAAACCTGCAGTCGATTTTTTCAAATAAAAAATAATGTTAAATATAAAATACAAGTACATTACTTTAATCGCAAACGATTTATTCTTAAAAAAATGCGATTACTTAAAAAATCATATGGCTGGTTAAAGGGGATGAACCATCCACCCAGTCAATATCCAAATTCCAATTCCAAAATCCTATTTCGAAAAATTAATTCGTAACCAAACTACTAGCTCTTTGGTAAAACGATAACATTCTGGAGATGAGTCAGTCAATAAAAATATCAAAATGTCAGCAAAACTGAACAAATTCATCGCCATGGTTGCAGGAACATTCTCGAATGTTCAGAAATGCAGTAGATCTGTCGGTAAGATGAATCTCTACGTTGGCAACGGACATCGTGCACGGTGCTGTCCTCGTTGTACAACGCGGAGAAGCCGAAGGGTCTCATCGTTGCATTCGGAGACATGAATGCGTGGATCGCATACACATCGGATGAAAAGGGAATGGCCGCTCCGGTGCGATCTATCCCCACCAAAAACACTGGAACACCTGAGCGTCCCTGGGGGCAGTTCAGGAGGAACAGTCATTATTGCGCCAGTATAACATTCGCTTCCAGTTCTCGGCGACGAGCCTGTCGAGTTTTCGAGACACCGTCCACGAGATCACGATTCACCGAGCGTGCAACGAGCGTTCCTCCTGCGTCCTTCGTGGCACGGCGAACCGCGTGGCCGTCTCGAAACGTTCATCTCGAACGATACGATGAAACTGTTCTCGGGAAACGACGAAAATGTGACCTGAGTCTGTCGACGACAGACAGCCTTGGCAAGAACGTGACACGTTTTCGCAGTCGACCGTTCAGTGTGGCACGCACTACGATCAAAATGCTTGTGAGAAGGACCAATTTTCACGCGTTCTCCAGTGCGCCTGTGTCGGTACTGTGTTTGGCCCTGGTGGCGCTTCGTGTCGTCCAGGTAAGTTGTCCAATCACGAAATTAATAGACACAAAAACACCGCATGCCGCGAGTAACATTGACATGGAAGAGATTAGATTTCATTTCGTAGTACCGTGGCATGTGATCCCTATTGCGTCGAATCCTCGTGAGACATAATTCGAAGAGACCAAAGGTAGATCCAGAAGTGTCTGAGTCGTCGTCGGAAGATCGATCGTTTGAAGTTCGATGATGTTCGATTAAGATCGAGCACCGATTATTATGTAAAATCAATAAGCTGTTAATACACGATGACTTAGATTGAATGTTAATCGGACGTCCATGGAATTCGTTGGACGTGTCTGCATCATGGGATAAGTAGATCATAGATATCGCTGGTATGCAGCATCGATGCAGTTTTACTGTTACCCATACTATCTTATCTATCGCTGTATTGCTCATCGCCGGCTGAAAATCTGCGACATGCGATTCATGCCGCAAAATAAAATCAGACTAACGCGATTTTCTGTCAACAATGGGTTTCGTATAGAGCACGTTCGCGAGCAATAAATCGCCACGATTCACCGGTACGTCCCCAGCTGACTCATTCATCTCGCGTGCATGCACGATCGTCACTTCTAAATCGGTATCTGCAACGGTTAACTACTGCAAACGAAATAAAAGCAGAGGCAACGATCTCGCGGATAGCCGTGGAGGTTTACGAGAGGCTGCGAGAGAGAACGAGGACTCGCTCGAACGGTACTCGAACGCTCGTGCTATCGCGAAATTGCGCCCGAGGAGTAAAAAAAGCGGGAATCGCTCGGGAATTCGCTTTGCTTACCGCGTAACACGATATTAAACGGCAATATATCGGCAAAGAGTTACGGTAACAACCGCGATACTTGTCTGTCCACATTGTTCGCGATCCGCTAAAACTGTATGGCACGGGGAGACAGAAAAATTTCGATCGACTGGATATCGGCTCCAGTTCAGCTTTGACGGTTCCCGCAATGTGGTAGCGGAATGCGTGTGTAGCAGGGGGCCCTGAACGTGGCCCCACCGTTTCAAATCGAAATATATCGCTCGACGAAAAGCTTTCGTTCGTGATCGCTGCCAGCAGGAATGCGGGGTGCCACAAAGGCGTGTACGAATATGCATGAATCGACTAAACGGACGTCGAATGCGTGAATTACACAATTACGTGTGTTGGATAAACGAGTGGGCAAAGAATCGTGCGAGCACGCTCGCAATGCCCAGACTCGAAGTTACGCTGGCCCCCATTATCGTTTTCGTCATTCGGGTCACGTATTTCTGGCTACAATAGATACACAACTAGAATGGACGACTTTTATTTAGAATAAACAAATACAAACATTTGGAATATGGAAATTTCGATTGGAATACTACTTTGAAGGTGTAGACGTACATAGAAATTTGAATATTTGGAAATATAGAAATTGAAGAACATAACTTACAAATGCTGCAATTGGGAGATAAAAGTTTGGGAATATACCGATAGCTGGATGACAGCTCGAGTCTGTGTAATGTAGAGAAACGCAGAATGTAAGCATGAATTATGTAAGCCGTCTGTATTGTATTAGAAGAGAAACTAATGTATGCTCGACTGTTTGTTCTTTGCCTCCTCGGATAAATTCCTTCGAGATGACAATTTCTCCGGGCAATTTTATATTATTCATAATAGGACTTTCCTTTGAGACTTTCGATTATGAATAATGCAAAGCACCGGCGAATTTCATAAAATGTCACTGTCGGCTATTATTCGCCTAGACTGGTCCCTGTACGCATGATACGACAAATTCTTAGACATATGTACACATCGATTACCAAGAAGACAATGATCTTAACCAAGAAATCATATCCTTCTTTTTCATAGAAAAATATTTATTTGTCCAAATCAAAATTTGTATAGGTCAGAAAAACGTAGAAATTTCAAAATTTTTTATTTATAGATATAGATAAAAGTAACCTTGGGTAGTTTGCCCAGGTTAGCCCAACTTTGCGCTAAATATAAAAATGACCACTTTCGACTTTGTTTTGTAAATTGCTGAAACGTGAGGATGTAAGGTAACAGCCATCAAACAGTAGCAATGAATAATTTAGCAATTCAAAGAAAAAGATAAAAGATGATCATGTTCTACTTTGAACCAATGTCACACTAGTCAATGTTGTCCCAACTCTGTCGAAAAAACCCTTATGATAAATCACACAGTACTAAAGAAAACATACAATCGTCAAATAGCTTAATTTTCAAGTAAATGAAGATCTATATGACAAAGTGTTAGTGAAAAGAGGAAATAAATGTCCAAAAAGGCAGTATTTTTGAACGGTGGTCGAGGTGGTCTCTTGATAGGAAACTGGCTATGACTCGTTACGGTGTTATCTGCGACGTAAATCGTAGATAGGAAAGGATTCATTCGAATCCTGGGTACATAAATAGACGGTAAGCTCGAGTGGCCGGCGAGCCGACAATCATTTTTACGTACGCACAATTACGCGCGTGTCAGCGCCGGGAAAAAGGTATCGCGTACGCGGGTAAACTTATCAGGACGGTCGCGACACGCTCTAAAAAGCTTCGCCTTTGGACTCGAAAGCAACTTGCGAAAGCTCGTGGAGAATTTTAATGGGCTGCACGGTGTGCGTCGAGGTGAGGCACCGGCGAATTAATTGCAAACGCTTGTAGCGGCTTGTCAAGAATTTTAAGTCTTTCCTCTTACGTAGATACTCCATGATCGAGGACGTTACGGTGATTCGTAACACTAGGTGGCCTTATTAACCCGTTAAGGATCAACCACTGATATAAAAGCCATTTTATCGTCGCTATATCTACTTCCACTCATACTTCTCGGTTTTATAAACTTTCAAGAAATTTAAGCATTACAGTATGATAAGTTAACGTTCCCTTTTTAACCGTAAAATTATTTCTGCACTCGAGTTTCAAGCTTTAGAACGCATTTTTCGAAGTTTGACGAAACGGCATATAAATTACTGTGATAAATGATCTCAGAATTGGAAATGGTTAGGTTATGTATATACATGATGTTTTTTTAAAATGTACAATGTGAAGATACATAATATTTGTTTTGTTTTAAATGTTCAATATAAATGTACATAATATTTATTTTCTTTTTAATGTACAGTAGAAATGTACATAATATTTATTTTTTTTTTAATGTACAGTATAAATGTACATAATATTTATTTATTTTTTAATGTACAAATGTATCTGACATTTATTTAAAACTTAAAATAGTAAAATGAAACTTATTTTTGACATGATATTTCAGTGCAATTCTAGACTTGACTAATAACATTGTAGCGCTATAACAACCTCTTTAATCAGAAACTCACTATGATTAATCTATCCATGGTACGAATGTATCACATGAATTGATATGTCCGTTTAATCGGTGGATAATAACTGTGGAGGAATTAAGGTGTGAAATAGGTCATCGTACAGTTCCCTCGATTTCCTTTCATTACGAAAATGTTAAAGATGGAATTTAACGATGCAAATTATTGGAAAAAAATTACGAATGAAACGTTGCATTACCGTAACACGGGTCTTTAATGGTTAAAGCGTTGATAGCCTGACGGTAATCGATTCAACGAACGTCACTTTATTAATATTTATTAGTTGGCCAATGTAGTGACACGAGAAAGCGATAAATTTGGTTCGTTGCGCAATTATTTGGTGTGTCGTTTCTACACGGACGAGGTGTACGAGGATCACGATCACGTTGCCAATTAAGGATGAATAGGAACGTCGTAAAACGGAATAATCGTAAAATCCGATAGAATGCTAACGACCGTATCGTAATTATTTAATAAATACCGTTTCATCGACCGTGACAGTTGTACGGTAAACTTCAATCTCGCGGTTCTAATATCAACCTGAGCTTCTGTTGATCGTAACTTCGAAGTTGTATAACGTACCGATGTAATTGTGGCTTCTTTGCACCGCTACAATTGTCGTGAGAATTCGTTACTTAACCTTCAGGGCCATTTTCAATCATATCTGAAACGTCATTACACATATACGGGTTTGAAGGTTGAAAGCTGTTCAGAATTTAAAATAGATTTTCGAGAAATGTATACGTCGTGGGCGAAGTGATTAATACCGGCATTATTCATAATGTCCGGCCATCTATCTATGCTACAAAAGTGAAACATATGCTCGTGTTGTATCGAGACGTCGGAGTTAGGTTAGGTCGGAAATAAGTTAAGTATCTTGAAACATAACAGGAAATAGACAGTGTCTTGTCTTCTTGAACCACGGGTTAAACGTTGCTAAAGTTTTCGACCGTGGTTTCGAGGAGATCGGATTAAACAAAAATTGAAACGCTTATTATAGTATGAAATACACGTATGTTACTTTCACGTAGATATTAGCATCTGATATATTAGCACTTTCATCTTCTGTAGGTCCAGAAATAAATCTGCCACATAACTCATTTTATTTCTGTAGCTGGGTCAATATGACCTTGCATCCATGCTGCAATTATTTGACCACGTTCAATCGGTGCGAAGGAAAAAGTATGCGTTATGTCCTTGCACATGTTCGTGTCTATGATATATCGTTCGACGTCCTTCGAATATGTCAGCCCGACGTAGAAAATCTCGTGCTTCTCGTATATCTCATTTCTTCGGCAAACGAAGGAATTCACGTTTCCCGCGGGAATTCCGCGAAATGTTTTCTAAAATCCATGGCCGTGGTTGGCATCGCATCGGCGAAGCGATCGGAATTTAAAGCTTCCTGCGTCCTTCGCGTAAGCGCGCGTATTTCTCTTTTGTAATCCTCTTATATCGTCGATTTTTTTCCCTTTCGTCTGAAAAAAAAATGTACGAATCGTTTATGAATCCGACAGACAGTGATCGAACGTCGTGGCAGGGAGCTGAGCATCTGCACCCCGTACGGAAAATTGTTTTTACCGAGACCTTGAACACGATTTTTAGCGTGTTCAACTTTGTTCAGACCTTGAAGATCAAGTTTGCCACGGCGATAAATATTCTTCGATATCGTT